CGTAAACGCCAACGTTTAAAGGCAAATAGATGGCTGCCAGTTTGACCAAGGTTGTACTCAAATTTTATTTAGTACATATTATATGCACGTACATTTTCTTTGACCAACTATCGATGATTAGATCGATATTGGGAAATGTGCCGGATATGTTCACTAACTGGACATGCCATAGTTATCGTGAATATCGAAAATGTGTGTGTTATTGATTGTCCGTTATTGTCTTTTGCGGCAAATGGATTTAACAGAAAAGAAGGCCACGGCGTAGTAGGCCAACGTGGTATTGATTTCGGACGGTCGGAGTCGGAGCTCCCTGCATCCGCGCTTTCAGTGTCATTTGAGTACGACGTAGATATCCATGATAGAAAGGTGCTCGGAAAGAAGTTGAGCTATCGTCCTCATTCACTAAAACTTTGTTGTTTACGTGATAAAAATCACTAATGGACATCTAATGAACCGGAATCATTAAATGTCGATAAAAATACAATCAAATGCGTACAAAATACTCGATTTAGAGCACTTTATTCTATTGCAGAAAAAGCTGCTGAATTATTGAAAGAGTACTACGTAAAAGAAAGATGATTCATATCAAATGGAAAGATTATTCAATATGATTCTGTCAATCATTCAATATACTTTATCAATTTAAAAGGAAATTATGGCTCATAATTTATCAGAAGAATTAGCGTAAAATCTGATGAGACCTTTGATAGCGTATCACTTGTTTACTGTAACAATAGCATAACTCTAAACTTTTTTAATTAACAGCGTGAGATAGAAATTCGATCTTTGACTTACGTACATATACATATCATTCTTAGAACGAATGAGCGTATGTATCCGTAACCAAGATTGGTTAGAAGAGGATTCGCGCGGAAAACACTGGTTCGTGTTGTGAGTTTAAACTTAAACGCGCGCATAAACTGGTCGGTAACCGGTCGATGGCAAAACATTTCACCGATATCTGTACGGAGGGTAGAAAACCGATACAGAGACCTGGTTGTAAGACTGGTTTCCCTTGAAAGAGCGAATTGGTCACAACAGAGAACTTCCCCGGCTGGGTGATATCGTCCTTGTTGAGAATCCAAGATCTCGTACCAAGGTCGATCCGACACCGCGCAATTACGTTCCTCCACCTAGTTGCTTCGTTCAATCGTTTGAGCGTACTATTAGTCCAATAGAATTTTTTGCCGTCACGACCAAAGATTTTGGAATTTTTATTTTTTTATAGGATCGCCAAGGGATTGACGAGAATCGTAACTTAATATACATACGTTCATTAAAGAGGCACCAGACGCAACGCAACTTGTTTTAATGGATGCTAATATTTGCAAGATAAGTCTATAAAAGACTGCTGCTCGATTATTTGATTTGCAAGATTAACAGTATAAATCAATTAGAAAGCTGATGATAATTTAATAGATTGGAGGCCTAACGTGTGATAATCAAGCTGTCAAATACCAATTTCTCATGTATGTACGTTTGAATCCAATTGGGGGAACGTAACGTGAGTCAGTCGGAGTCAAACGGAATTGTTACGCCAACTGCGCACGTCCAGATCATTAATAACTATATACAAGCATACACGAAGGGCATACTTATGTATCTATATTCTTTGAGTGCCAGTCAGCTTAATAAGAGTTTTATAAATATATTCATTGACTGCCCTATCTTATTCCAAGTATGCTCTCGCGTCACCCGCGCAGATGAAAAGCTTAAGTCCAGCTGGAATTAATAATACCATTAAGAGAATGTTCTAAATTTAGTCTTTTCGTTCTATCTTTCTAGCCCATCTTCTTTAATACTGTTTACGTATCTGCATACAGTAGGATTAGGATAGGTCAAAGGAAATCGACGCGTAAAGTATCCGAGAACGTTATGCAGACAACTGTTGAAGATGGCAACGTGCGTCAATGGGAACAGTTAATTCCTCGTAATAGCAAAGTAACCGTATTCAAATTGTGACTGAAAATACATAGTGATCTAAACAAACGGCGGCCTTTGATGTAGAACAATCGGCTGCACGTGGCTATGTAAACGGCTGCCTATTAATCCCAGAATGCAAAGGCGCGATACCTGTGGTTCCTTGTCGCCCCAGCCCAAATTGCCGGTGAACTAGTAAATGAACAATTTGGCAGCGGTCGTGACAATGTGTTCGCAAAAACGTTCACGTGGGTGTCGAGACGGCACGTCACAGCGTGCTAGGCGCCGCGCGCGACCGCTACGTCGCTATTACGCCGAAAATAACAAGGTAGACTTATAAGTACAGATCCGTATGTCGATCGGACATACGACTCACGTTCTCTTCGCGTGTCACCGTGAAACCACCCTGTTTTGGGCTTTCACTCAGTGAATCTCCGATACCTTTAAAGCGATCGCAATGTCGTAATTACTTCCTACATACACTGTCGAAAGTCTAGACAACATATTGGTCTCTTCGTATATTATGAAACACCAGAAGTTCCTCATGTGGCATAAACAATTATTGCAATACCTACTATATTTCATTGTATTCGTATTTATAGAGGATTGGACAACGGATAACAGAAACTTATATAATTGTCTAGAATGAAATGGTTCTTCCTAAATTATTCAAAGAAATCTGCATTAGTTTCTTAGAAGTCGCGCGCCACGTATTTGTTGTGTGCCAATTTTACCTGTCTCCTTGCTACAAATTCGCATAGAATTCGATTTGCTATTAAAACTGACACCAGCATACATATCTGTGCATACGCGCCATGTGGCGACGAACATGTCGCAATTCGTAAAGTTTCTCATCGATGCGACAAGCGACGTGCCAAAGTGTTTGCTGGCGCGTTATCGACCGATGACGGTCATTAATAAACGACGAGTTATTATTAACAATTGTATTGATAACGGCAGAAATAAGTCATATCTTCTCGTAGTATGCTTCCCCTTCATCATAAAAAATAGCGGAACGGCGATAACCTGAAGGGCATCGGGCATATAATTTATGACAGTAAAACGTTACGAATTGTAAAATGATAATAGTCATTAATGTTTTGGCTACCAGGAAAAGTTCATGAAAAATCACGCGACAGATCAACTATGGCGTCAACAATGGAAAATTTTCACCGAATTTTTTAATATTCCCCTTTATTAATAATGGGAACCTTGTTGTTGCTATAAACCTTTTGACGGTAAAATATAATTTGTCGTCCGATAATAATTAATCAGAACGAGTATCGCTTATCTGAATGATATTAGCTTATCTCTCTATTGTTCAACGATTAATTAATGTATTTCCCGTTACATTGAAGTTGTTGTGTTTCAGATATACAAGAAATGTCCGCGAACGCTAGTAGCTAACAATAGGAAACGGCACAATTTGTGAAGTTGACCTCCGACTATTCCTGATCTTTTTTCCCCATGTTTCTGTCTACTCTCGGTGTATAATAGCTCTTGTCATATTTAAATTTCTGTAACGTAACAAGCGTATGTATTCTCAAACCGTCAGCTTACATCCGACTGTTAATGAAATCAATATAACTACACTACACAGCGAAGAACTTATTTGTGGCTCGCACGAGACGCGATTGCTGACAATTTTCTTGAACCCTATGACCCGGCTGCCGCTCTCACGAGCTTTTCCAGATTGTAAACACACGACTAAGCAAGTCTCGATCATAGCGTCTCGCGACGTGTCATCATGATTGATGAATTTCCCTAGGCGTGCTGGATTTTGATCGAATCAATGCGTTGAGAAGAATTATATGCGTTCTAAGAATAATTCGCTTCAAGTTAGAAATAGTATCGTCGCACGGACGTATTGATCGGCGACCTTATTCTGCACCAGCCAGAAAGTCCATCGACCTGAATTCTTTTCCGAACCGCGCTACCTACGAGCTACCTGGTGGTGTTTCGTTGTCCCCCGTCAACCGGTGCTCTTCAATCGCATCGTTCGGGAACGGCATCGGTTGTTCTACAAATAGCAAGGTCTTGAGCCTCTGCGTCGTAAATAGACCGGATTTAAAGCAAACTCGTTTGTATGCAAAGCGACTCAGTTAAATACCGTTGAATCAAGTCCGTTTGCGCGTCTACTCACCTCACGATTACAATCGCGCCGATAGATATCAACGGCTAGCACGTTTCATCGGCCAAGGACAGAGTAACTATCCTTCTCAAGGCCGAGCCTGCTCATTTTAAAGCACGCGTTACGCGTAAGGCCGCGATAAATCGTTAGTCAGTGTATGTGCAAAGAAGATACAGGCGGGAAAAAGGAAAAAGTAGGGAGACTTTTATACTCATGATTGAAAGGCGAAGAACCACGGATGATAGTGGTATTTGATAGAACATACTCGAGGCTGATAGCCGCTTATCTAAACAGGATCCCATTGACTGAATGAACCTACGTATTTGCGTGCGTTCACACTTTGACGAAAGATAACGTATGGTGGGTGATATCCTGTAACAGCTTGCTATTTAACTTCCTTCTTGAGTCTTTACTATGGGCTATATTAAACTTATTTCAAACCATTGTATGTAAGGTAAGTAGAGAATACAGGAAGTCTAATGGGGATAATCGTGTCCCATCGAAGCAGGCCTTTTAAAAGAAAAACAGACCTGGGCCCAAAGTACCATAAAAAATAGCACAAGCCATACTGGCGATGAGGGTGTTTGACGTCAAAGCCACTTTTTCTGTGGTTGACCTATACCTGTCGTCACAAGAGAACATACCTGTGCAGAGACCAGTTTTCGATCACTGTGCGCACTTCTCTCTTTCTCTTTATTGCTATCCATGTCGTCGCCACTACTCGGATCTCGGTATTCGGTTACCCCACTACCTGTAAGCTGCGCGAAACGGGTATGTTCTCTCGTGACAGCGATAATAGCAAGAACATTGAATAAATCAGAGTATTTTGCCGATCTCTCAATTCTTTAACGCCCACATTTATTCTTAATTCTCGCGCCAATCCTTACTTTAGCTGCTGACCAGAATTTAATCTTATACATAAGACAGAATAAATAATCAAACCATGGTGTAATAAGTTATACTATTTTATTTCAAAAATCCAAGTTCGTTCAGACGCAGTTGATGCAACACGTGCTAAGGTCCCGGAGATAATGGCCGTGTCGTCTGAGAAAATCTTTTTCTTCATCCACGACAGATGGTCAAGGGTCCGTAGTAATTTATGACGGACAGGGTACCCAACTATTGGGGGCCATCGACGCTTTTGTTGGCCGGTATATACACGTCTGGAATTTGTTATACTTCTTGGGCTGAATGATAATTATTTTCCAGCCTCAGAATTTTTTTTACACTACTTATTGTGCATTCAGTTAATTTGTTTATTACCTTTGCTGAAATTATTATTTCTTTTTTACCTGTGGCCTGTTCTATGTCACCACTAATTCTCGTTCACGATTTTTCGCAAATAGGATTAAGCCGTAGGCCTTGAAAGGGCCGGCATTCGTCAGCCTTCCCTTATTGGTAGGCTTTCCCTAGGCTACTACCCTTTGACCATACCGAACGGATTAGGAAACTTCCCATTATCGTTTTCAAGTTTAAAGAATGTTCATCGTTAACCATAAGTTAAGAAAGGTTCTTCTATACGACCAGCTAGATTTTCCGAGAACTTCTGGCAATACTTTTTCCGTATCCCTACGCAAACAGTAAGATTAGACTATGGACCTTGAAAGACCCTCTCTCAGTAACCTTCCTTCCCTGGTAGTTTTTCCCTGAGTGGGCTATCAGTTTTTCCTCATCTTTAGCGAACTGGTTACAGTTCTCAGAAGCTTTAAACTGGAAATATTCTTATAGTATCGTAAAAAACCAAGTTTAATCGATTCATTAACCTCGACTATCATGAACTGGTATAAGAGATTGAATTAATCTTGTATTTCATATTCTAAAAATACTACTGAATGTTTACTGTGTATTAACTGTTTAGTCTCGATAACTTAGTGAATGTGTAACTTCATTTCACGAAAAATATCAGTGGGGGTGACTGCACTAATCGTGCATGTGCACGATCTTCGTGCATGTAGAAATAAATCGAAGGGAGCGGATTCGGATCACATGATAAGTCGAATCTATGAATGAATCACAAGGATTGGGGTAATATGCATCATCTGAACTTGGATTTCTTTGTTTTTTGCATTCGCACCGTGTATTCTTGTTGGTACGGTGCAATTTTCGCGCTAGTAAGTCAGTCAGTGACACACCATCGTGTTGTACGCGGCGAGCCCCTCGCGGCGCCGTGGAAATTTCCATTCGTGAAAAGCATTGGCGTAACCAGACGTGAATTCTGCGGCAGAACATCATTCGACTATCATTACCGCAAATTCGGTAAACACAGCTATTAAACAAGCGCCGAGAAGTGAAGAGGAAATAGCTGACGCGTGAATGAAAAATATTTCTTTTCCTTACCTTTGTTCGATTGATTGCGAAATACGACGAACATTTATTTAAGTCGTCGCTATAATCGGAACAATGCGCCGTCATCGTTATCGATTATCTCAATGGTTTTCTTAAGAGCGACGGCAATTAAGTCATGAATTGATAAATTATAAAATTCTTTCCTGTTCGCTGCAATCTGTTTTCACGTTTCCATGTATGCAAGTACGTACGTCAAACGACGCCAACCGCGAGAGTATCGGTGTCACGAACCAACGTTTCCGATAACTTCTCTCAAATGAAGATCGTCAGCGTCAGCTAGAATACGACAATCATTTTCGACTTGTTTTCATCGAGGTCGTCGTAAAGTTACGTAGCGCCGAAATTTGAGCACTATCGTTTGACGTAAATACTTTAAAAAATAACGGAACACAGCGGAAGTGATAAGATTACAACCGGTTGTTATTGAATTTTCATTCGGAAAGGTGTACGCGTTATATCCCGATTCGAAAGTTCCTTCCGATAAGGCGACTAAACGGTAATCAATTTCGTAATGCAAATGTCGTTGAAATTCTTGTCGCGCGATTCATTCTTGCCCGCGTTACGTCAGACCAATAATTTCGAATGATATGCGATGACGTTAGCGAGATGCGCGGCCCTGCTGACGGTGTTACCAGGTAGTCTTCTCTATTCGCTTTAGAAATATGTGTTTCGTGGAAACAATACTCACCCAGCGCAATGACTGGATGAAAGTTCTGGAAGGTCTGCGGTTAAGGTGCTCGTATTACCAGTGACTTGTCGTCGCATACCATCCTGTGTACCATGAACGCAGCACGCGATCCGATTTCAGTAATTGAACGTTTCAATTAAAACACATTTTTCAAATTTCACGTAAAACATGCCCAAAATGATTCGTCAGATGCGACTTGCATCTTTTTAATACCCATTCCGTCCTTGCATCAATTTAACACTTTGACTGCCAAGCGAAATACTCTTTTCAATTAAGCAGTTTATAATAATATATTTCTATAGTTTATTAGCCTATATCCTGTTAAGTATCTTTTGAAATACCACAACCAAATAACAGCCAATAGATCCATCACCCTGATCCGGGTGATATAGCCCATTGAAAACTTTATACGTCACATGAATTTGAGTGACATGGCAGTCAGAGTGTTAATTCGTGTGTCTTAGAAAAAACTTCGATCAATAACACATTAGCACAGGAATTTCATCGCCTTAGTTTTCTTAAAAAATGTCGCATTTGTAACTATGTCATTACCTTTTTCTACGATGTAATGTTATGTCGATTTAACATGCAAAGGATGAGACGAGTTAGCAAAATGAGGAAAAGATACAACTTACATAATGCAATGCATAATTACTTGTGTCATGCAATACATAAGTTCTTCGACTGTGGACTCTACACTACATTGGTACAATATTCTTATCGAAAAATTAAATATATTGCGCTGTGCCTCGTTTTTATCGCCGACAATAATTGACAGTCGCTAGCACACTTCTTATGTAATTCCTGCTGTACGTACTTGAAAAATTGAAGCGAGCTTTACAGTTGGATCACGTGGCTGCAGTCATAAATTTTTTACACGAACGATGCTTGTGGATATCATTCAGGTATCTTCTGGTTGGTGTAATGAACTCTAGGAACGTTCTTTCGCTTTCGCGTAGTCGAGGCGATATCGATTAGTTTACTAACTTGATGCGTTCACTATCTACGAACTATTATGCCCTGCAATTAGTTTCCGTTCATTTATGACACTTAATTTCTCATAATTATATTATAATAACGCCCAGCAAACAATTTGTGAATGCGAACTTGTAAATCCAAATTTCAATTCTTGCAGCAGGTTTCATTAGAGAAATATTTAAGATTTTACTCAGTTTTTCAAATGATCTATCTCAGTCCAAGTAAAAATCCATTCTCACTTGCGATTGTCGTCTTTATCAATGATTCTACTCGTCGATATCGTTGCGATATCGAGATACAATTGTCTAAGCATCATGTTCGATGTGTCATCTATTTACTTGAACGGACAAACATTTTATTAATAGAATCGGTAGTTTTTACTCTGATGAGTGATTCATCAGAAAATAATTACTTGAGTATTAGATGATTCAACCTGTCATGACGTTTTCGTCTCTGAGAGAAGGACGTGTTAATATGTATATTGGAAAGGTGTGCAAAAAAACATCGTGCCAGTATTTTAAAACTCATTTATTGAACATGACATAAAAATCACGATACATGACAGTGATGAACCGAGACTATTGTAAGCTTTCAAACTTTAGATATATCATTTATTTATTATCTCCGCATGTAATAGCTTAGTCGAATGTCTTATATCAAACGCTAACAAATTCATTATTTTATACAAGCATACGTTATAATCATATTCATGGAATGTGCACCCGTCATCATGTCGCTTTCTTTTCTGTTAAAGATTTTATTTACCTCGGTTGGAGGATCATCGCTAGCATCGTTCCGTTCGCAAACGGGTAAAAAAAAATTTAAACAAGTCGCCAACATCGTTTCGGAAAGAAACTTCGAAAGTTCGATTGGTGCAACTTCTTAGTCTATCTTTTCGTGTCTCCTTTTTCTGATGCTTGAACCTCAGGAACTTGAAACTAACAAATTTGACGGTATTTTAATTTTTCGATAAAATTTTGCCAGAATGGATAAAGAAGCGAGTGTTACGGGTTTTTCTCAACGAAGAAAGAGAAAACCGCTGTTCATAAAAAAAGAAAATAAATACGCAACGCAAGATCGAAAAATAATGCGAGGATGATAGGTTCACGATGGCGATACGCCACGAGCGCGTTGCCACTAAAAAAGGTCGGCAGACGTTCGTCGAGTCTATCAACCGCTGTATGCAGTATATGCTATATTTTTATGCAATCCTGGGGATTTTGGCAGTGACATTCAATCATCATGGTTGAGGAGAAGATTATTGACCGACTGACATTTTTCGATTAACGATCCTAAATCAGATGGATGAGCAAAACTGCTGAACTTCAGGCCATCTTTAAATGTATAATGCAATCCATAATCAATTTTATTATAAGCATACCAGAAAATATTAGACAACTATCTGGTCAGCTGTTGTCATTGTTCGATCCTTTTGATTAATTGCAATTTGAAAAGGCTATAATTATCATTGCTCGTATTTAAAAAGGAATGTCAGTATTCGGTGTTTGTTTCATCTCCTCGACCACGCGCTAAAAATCAGCTCAAAATATCCCGAATGAGGTATAACGAATAACCATAAAATAGTTGTAATAATAATAATAAAAAATAGTCAAGTCGTCGAATAATAAATTATGTATACATATATATATGTACGCATGCATGTGTAAATGTATATGTATATATGAATATGCACATATTCATACATACTTATATATGTACATATGTATAATATATTTATTTATAGATTTTAATAATTCCCCCGAACATTGCGACCGTAGAATGAAAGTGGATCGAGCCAAAAAAAAGGATAATATAATCTATAAAAACATTAATTGAATTAAAGCGTACCGCGCGTTCCGTTGGATATTTTTCTCCTTGCATGGAGAATGTTTCGTTACGAAAAAGACAGAAAGTTAAGGAGCGTCCCAATCCACGTTTACTCCGCGGTCCGAGGCCGCCGTAATAAATAGATCGTACTATCTCGTCAATCTCTAAACTCTAATAACACCATTGTTTCTAGTCAGTACAAATCAATCGACGAAACTTTGGAGCGAATTCTTTCACGAAGGCTCGCGAGGCCAACAATGTCGATCTCTCCGTGCGTCCCAATTTTTCGTCAAGCACCACGTTTTAACATCCGTTCAGTTAAACCTATCGTTTCTTTTCTATTTTACTTTGCATTTTTAACCGATTCTCTAAAGCAGTCTTACGTAATTACGGCAACTTTTACCAATTAGTCCCGTTGTTCTTTTCTCCGATCGCGTCATTTCCTTCCTTCATCCGTATATTTTTTACCGAAAACATGAGGCAAATTCGTATTCACTGTGGTACACGCACTGTATATTCCGTGTTCAATTTTGTAATCAAACGCAAATGTATGCGTATATCTGTCGTCCAATATGGAACAAGAGCAAAAATATATGTTGTTCAATCTCTGTTTATTCCGGACAGAAATTGATTCGCCTGGAAATTAATTAAAAGCCATTCGGATTCGTGGTACACGAAGAAGGAACTTCTCGCTTTCGCTGCCAAAAAACGCGCGTTGATTGACGGAGAATCGAACCGTTCATGTAACGAATTTTCGTAATAACAATAACACGTCCCCCAACTTCTGGCTCTAGTTTCTTTCTCTCTTATTCATTTTTTTGTTTATTTTTCACTTTTTATGATCGTTGCAAAATAATTCTACCTTATAGCTTACTGTATCACAGAGTTACACGCGGTATCGTTTAATTGCTCCCACATCGTTATTTTGCAAAACGATACGGAAAGCGCGTAATCGTCCTGTTTTGGAAATGAAGACAAAAAACGACGGTAGGTGGACGCAGACGATGTCGCCGTATTACGATCGTTTATCGGTTCATTACACATGCTGCATGTATGTACATGAACTTTTTCATTTTACGCGTGATTTAATACTGGCGAATGAAGAGATAATTGGTATTTTACAATGAATTCTATTGCAATCAATTGATGAACTTTTTCATGTTACAAAAAAATAGAAGCACAACCGATTAAAAAAAAAGCTGTGCGGGAATCATTCTATTCTTTGGTTTTACCGTTCCTTTTCATTGCTTACGGACATACTTTAACATAAAAACAAAAGACTATATAGAGGAATGAAGAAACGAGTGCTTGGATTTCTGTTGATAAAGTTCCACGTACGTTACAGCTATCTCTGTGATTTTATTCAGTGCTCTTTTGAAAGACGTCGTTCTGCGTCCAAATTTCGGAGACACTTTCGTTTCTCAACCATTCCCGGAGTTATTTATCAAAAAGGTTGCTTAATGTACAGCATAACGAATAACAGACTGGACCGTATATATTCCTATGGAATCGTAATAAATATATTATAGAAGAATTCAACAAACGCTTCGTAACGACTAATCAAAACAGCAAACTCGAGTACGTCGGGCATGGGGCAGGCGGAAAATGTTACGGTACACACCTCGATACGTATTGCAGGAATATCGTTTTTAAAAATATACCTTTTCCACAGTAAATAGTACAGTCTAGAAAAAAGTGTCTCGTATGATTTGAAAATAATGTTTCCGTCGAAACGACACCGAGAGCGTAGCACGAGCAACTCGAACGAAGATTTCGAGCGAAGCGAATTTTTGGCGTGTCTTCAGCGAATGCCAAAATATTTGTTTTTTTTTTTACACAAAACGAGGAGGAATTTCTATCGACGACACGTGCGAAGCAAGCCAAGAGTTAAAGCGTACTCGAGTATCATTTCGACGAGGTAAAAACATCGCATTCTTTTCGTTGCAATGTGATGAAAATTTCGACTAAATACTTTTACGCGTAAGTACAGCGAATCTCCCTCGGACGATACACGATTAAAATAATTAAGTCTTTTCTTAGGCTCTGTTCTCTCTCACTAGCTCATCTATTATATGCATTATACGTAATACACGCATTCGCGCCCCCCTATGTAATTATGTACATCCCTTCGCAGTTTATGCACGCACGCACGCGTATTCCCTCTGGAGGCTGCAAGTAATCATAACGATGAAAACGAGCGTTTCCGGTTGTCCGTGTGTATGCGACTTATGGGAACTCCCTTGACTTCGACGCGCGTTACGCCTCGTTTAGTCATCCCATATTTCTGCTTGCCCTGATGTTTCAAAAACATATTCACCATGATTACCATTTAAAATTTAAACGGTAAAACACTAAACGAACGATAAATATGGTTAAAAAGAAAACTCGAACGAAAAGGGACTCGTGTATCTACGCTATTTACGCGTCGTGTCGAACCAGTGAGAAAAAATGGGGGAAAAAATAAGTAGATAGAATACGATCGTCGCTCGTGTCTTTGTCAACGATTAAGTTTCTTGGGGAGAAAAAAAGACGGAAAGCAAAGCTTGTGTGGTATCGCTTAAGTCGTATCTTGATATTTTATACACGCGGTAATGTACACAACGGAGGAACTAGCTTTATAGGTTTGAATATTGAGATCCTCTATCGACCCCGACTGGCCATGAATCTTCCGATTTGCGCGTGCAAAACGAACGCAGTCCAACGTCATATGTACGCGCCGGCATCGATAACGACGAATTCCATCGCGATTATGTACCTCTTTTCTTGGATCCATGTTGCTCGTTGCCTGGTGCGCGATGTCCTCGATCGCCTCTGCTTCCGCGTCTCTCTTCCCCGTATCATTTTCCCTTTCTTTTCACTCCCTTTTTCTCTCCGTCATCCTAAACAGATTCTCACAGTTATCCAAGGAAAGGACACGTCGATGCTCCGATATCTCGTGGGAACGACGTGCGTTTGGAAAGGGAGGTGTGAAACACGGAAAGTATTTTCTTGCGATCCTCGTAACTCGTTCTCTGGCATCCTTGATAATAGTGATGGTGGCAACGGGGAAGCAGAGAGTGGAAAGAATGGATTTTAAGCTCGCGAGTTTTTCGGCTGGGTCGAAAGGGAAACGTAGAAGAGAGCGTGTAGCAACCTACTGGTACCAAAGGGTTGCTGGGAGCTGTTCACCATCGACCGTCGTTTATTCGACTGTTGCGTACTCGTCCGACGCAATCGATCCTCGTATCAAAAGCTTGTTCATGATCTTGACATTGAAGCCGGCCAGCTTCTCTTGTTTTTAGTGGAGGGACGTGCGTTTTTTGTTCGCCGTTACTTTGTCGATTTCGATGTTAGGTTTCCGAGCAAGGTCACGCGCAAGGATCGATGATTGTTATTGTCACCACTGACGATCGAGTTGCCGGAGACTTCTCCTTGGACTCCGGATCGTCCGATCCTGTTCCCATTACTGTCGCCGTTGGTGTTCCGCTTTTTACCATGCCGATGACGAGGGATTCGGGCAGGATCGTGCCACCCCCTCGTAGATCGTCGCGGACGTTGTAACGGGTGCGGAAGTGCGTCGGATTTCGATCGGTTTCGAGCCGGGAATCGGTGGCCGGCCCGAAACCCCCTGACTGTTTCATGACAAGTTTCGTTGATCTTCTGTGCTGTCCTCAGCCTTCTTCAGCGACCTCTTCAACTTGTCCACCAGCCGGTTGTGGAACTTGTTCAGAGAGTTCGAGCTGCCGGTTTTAGGCGGGGATGAGCCGGTGCTTTTGCTCGGGCTCTGCAACGAGTTTTGAGACGCCCTCGAGGACGTCCTCGAGAAGTGCCGAGAGGTGAGGGGCACGGAACGATGCGCCGGCGATGTTAAGAAGTCTGATCCCGGCGAGGTGGATAACGATGGGCCTTCGGACTTTGAACATTCGGACACCTGCGAACAGAAGAACGTATCGTTCCCCGTTTTAGCTGATCACACGAAATAGAGAGTACCCAATAGCAAATTGTTTAATAATAAAATTTGGAAAAATAATTGCGTAAATAAACCCATGACATATATAAACGCATTCGTTTAACGCAGCAACAATAGTCTAATCTTTGAATATTTGTTAAATGAAACCCAAAATTATATTCATTACCAGATTGCTATTATTTTTTAATGGAAATCGTACGATGGCAAAACGTCCTTCGTTTTCTGACGAAATTGACGTACTGAGCATATAAAATAGTTAAGTACTAGCCGGGCTTATCGTTAAACATGCAAGCAAATAGCTTTTACAATTAGCTCTAATGCGTAACTCATTTTGTCGTCGATTATATCACGCGCGATCGGGAGTCGTGCCGTAAAGCAGAAGCCGAGCTCGTTCGATTCTCCTTTCGAAATGCGTGCGAGAAATTGATTGCTTTCACTTGTTTCTCCGTTCTATCCTTTAAAAGTTTCGTTTCATCGAACCCGACGATCGATGCTGGACGAAACGTAGCTTCTCTTACGTGTACTTTCAAATTCTCTCTATCGGACTGAAACGCGAGAGGCTCCATTGGGCGAATTTAACCACGCGTAGTGTCCTCGCGGGACAACGCCGCGCCGCGCCGTCGGCACTTTTGACACAGCCACGAACGAACAGTGGTTCGCAATCGAGCGACTTATTCGAGCGCGTAGTATGTGTGTAATCGAAACTGCACGTGCGCACGTGCACCACCGACCGCGGACGCAGTGAATTTCTCGCCGCAGATTCTCGTCCTTTGGTTACGCGCGATTACGTAATCTCCTTTGGCATGGACAACCGGCGATTCGCGTCCGGCGCAAATGATACTTTGACCAAACAATCACAGCTGAACGTCCCATGTATGAATTAATATACGGAGCCATCTGGAAGTGCATAAACGCGCTCGCAAATGTGCATATTGTGTACGGGTGAGCTTAAAAAATCGTCATCTCTTCCTCGTTTTCTCATTTTACAATAATTTGTGCGTCGATAATTTGAGGGCAATAATTGGTTAAAGTTTAGTTTTAATCCCCTACTGAAAATGAGAATAGTTAAATTCCTGATCGTGTGTGCAACGAAATGACAATTCTTCCTCAGATTACCGTGTCAAATTATCACGAGAAATCGGTGAGAACTATTTCTCAGCACTGTCATCGCCAGATGACTATCTTACGACAGTTTCGTCAATAGTGTCTCTCGAAAATCAGGTCGAATATCCAAAAATGGAACGGTATAACAACTGAGGCCACACGAGAGTTTGAAGTTCTCAGTTAAAACGCAGCAAGCTCTCATGCCGGTAGTTATCGATTAACACGATTTGCAGCTCCACGTGATTTACAGCATCTCTCGCGTTTCTCGAACTTTGCCCGATGTATCGACGCGACGGAACGCGCATTCGTGAGACGCGTTCGTCAATATAGACTTTTTGCACTTGTACATTAGACCGTTAATTAATTGATGGCTCGAGAATTGTAGGAGTTTCGCAGTGTCAATGAAATGATATTTGGCGTAGTTATCATGTAACTAACTAGCCGAATGACGTTTTTCAAAAATGAAAACACCATTAACTTACGAGTTCATAAAAATTTTTTTACTTAACTGCAACCTATTTGGGCGAAGCGTAAGCGATTTTACTTCAGTAACTTATCTAAAATTGTAATATTACTACGTTTTACGCTTTGTTGTTATCTGATAGGAAAATGTGATCGTTTGTGAAAGTTAATACTAGAATTACTAAACTAGTCGTAGTGACTTGTTTTGAATAGAAGAATGTAGATATGTATAAGAAAAATTTTATAGGTTTAGTGTGATATTTTCATAATAATAAGATCATTATCAATAAACACAGCGAAATAATAAAAGTGAATATAATCGGTACAGTTGCATTGTGTGAAAAATTGAGGTGTTTGAAACGAGGTTTAGATACAAATGTTATCGTTCTTTGCTATGTATTACATACGTATTTTATTCGTTACCGTAACCGTGGAACGCGAAGTGATAAGAGCACGATCTGGATTGTGCGTATATGTTTCGGAAGCTTTGTTAACAGTGTTATCAGTGACACATCGATTCGTCCACGATTAACGCGATAGCATTGGGGTGAGATTATCGCGCGCGATGCATTACGAAATTGAGGTTCGAAGTTGCGCAACCGTACGTCACGCCAATGATAGGAGTATGCCCGGGAATGTTGTTAACAATTAGATTTCTCTGGAAGAAGCGCAACGTGCTTTTCAATCCAGCTTTGTTTTCTTTGTCAGTAGATAACGGATCGTTTAGCGACGACTATGTGGTGTACGTACGTGACCGCGGTATACTTCTTCATATCTGTTGCGTCGACTCGCTTTCATCGCACATAATGTAATCAGCCATCCGATTAAGCGTGAAATCGGTGTTTTCAATCTTGTCTGATTAGAGATTAAAGTTTTACAATTCTGCTCTGACTTTTTACGCACGTCGATACTTCGAGGAATCGTTAAATTGTGGCAGAGTAGTTATTGAATTGAAAAGGATTCTTTCAGAGGCAATTACGAAAACGCATTCTTTCGCGTTGAATGAAACAATGCCAATGCAGTTCGAATTCGATTTGCCACGTAAATCAGACGGAAACGAAGCGAATCAAGAAACATAACACGCGGACCGTCGTTTTCGACGATCTGTGGCTCGTACAGTATCAGAGAAACGCTCACCTTTCTACTGCGACAGGCCTGAGGATTGGAGCACTCCGAGGATCGCCGGTTGCGGTTGGTCTTGTAAATGTCCCACTCGTTTTTCATAACGGGCATCATAAACGCCATCTCGATACCTAACCCGGCCACTCGATTCTCGTTTCCGTGTCCCACGGCAAGTTACCTTCCTTTTCTTCTACACTCCGCACCTAGTTGCCGTCTTTCTCGCTCCGTTTCTCTGGAAAGTTCAAACTGGACGGTTCCTCGGGTTCGGCGCACGTCGAGTTTTTCCGACGTTTGAATTTCTTCGTCCGATCACCACCACCACCACTCTTCGATCCCGATTCAAACAGATGTCGAATTCTTTTTTACCAATACCTGGTGTCACCCGCCAGTTATTCGAAACGCGTGCAAATATTTATCTTCGTTCGCGCGTCACGGTCCAAAGAAAAATCGAGAGCGATTCGATATTCTGTGCGTCCACTGTTGTCCTTCGATCTTAACGTATTGTTACAATTCAAGTACGTGCCGCCGATGACAACAGGCCACTGCTGCTGCTGCTGTTGCTACTTTGTCGCGTGGTGCTGTTGTCGGTGCCTCTGTTAGTCGATCGCTGCAATCAGTGTTGTGCGTCGACTAGAAAACTGCATATACACGTCGATGTTGCGCTTTCACGGATGGATTATCCTTCAGCTTCTTACGGCGTGTTGCCTTTTCAATGATGTACGATCACGCGCGTTCATCCGCTCGGTGCAGCAGTCTGCTACAGAATGAGCACGCTGGCGACCGTGTGGGTAGGTGTAAGATGATGCCCGAGGTGGGGAGCAGCTGGCCAAGCTCATTGGCCCATTCTGAGGCGGGACTCCTACGTCACGGGTTACCATTGATTTTCCAATGTTGATACACACGACGGCATGACGTTCCGGATTGATTTTCTGGCGACGGTTCCTGCTGGATCGCACGTACACGTAGCCCTGGCCGTAGCCACGTCACGGCGCGGGAATGCCACCCCTTTCCTCCGTCCGAACCACAAAAGAAGGAGACAACGCGCGTCGATTTTCCCTCACAATCCTTTCGCACTTCGTCCTCGATCCTTTCCCGCCTAGAATCAGCGAAAATGCGCCTTCCTTCCGTCGTCTTTCAAGGTCGCCCCGGTGAATTGCGATAGATGCACGTGCGATGCACGTTGTCATATTTCAGCTTTGGCCGCCGCGATATATTTAGGAATCGCCAGCGTCTATTCTCGATCCCATTGTTCGAGGATTTGATATGGATATCGAGTGATTCAAAGCGCAATTTCGTTTCGGGAACGTGGCCTCGAATATATCTTCGATAATTGTTCCATAAATCGTAATCCCGATGCAATACATGGATAAGCCCGCGACATGAAAAAACATTTCCATTCAAAACATTTTCAGATCCATAGATCAAAGCGAAATATGACTTACTTACATATAAATTTAAAAAATAAGCTTTCTGGAGTTCAAATACTTGTCGATGTTTAACTGTCAGTCGCTAACTACGAACACTTATCTACAGCCGACAGTATATCGTTGGCTGGTATTCAGAGTCGTTAATTATTTTTAAGATCGTCTTAAGCATTTCCTATCCCTGTCTGTCCTATATTTCCAGTCCCTGTCTTGTACAGGATACAGGAACTTAAGCAAATGCTTAAGGCGATCGTAAATATACGTAACAACTCTGAATACCGGCCGTTGATCGTTACTATCAACAGCAGTATGTCGATAAATTGTCATATGATCAACAATAACAATTACGCAGAATAAAAGGATTGTATTTGGCATAAGTACTTCAATGACAAATTAAATAAATTGGTCGCATAAAGGGAAAACCACTGATCTCTATAAAACACCGGATAGTGTATACCGTATGCTCCCCTGGACAATTTCTTGTGCCCTATTGAAGCTCTCCGGTAGTCATGTTGCTTGTAGTACATTTCAACATTCCGCGGAAGATTCAATTCAATATATCTATAACTGCGATATTGACACCATTGTGTCTATAATAGTAAATAATTTACACTTGGAACATTAGTGAAGCACTAATAAGTGGAATTGTAGCGTCCGTGTCGATTAGTAAATATCGGTACGAGCAATATCGATACAATATATTTCGATAAAAGTATCGATACTTGCTGTATCGATATTGTAAGCCTGGACGCCATTTTCCCTTTATCGACACCCGTGTACCACGCGAGGATTAAAGTGAATTCTTACCTCAAAGACAGCATTTATTACGTAAGAATTAACAATTTCGATGTAAAATGCTTTGATTGTTTTCTATCGTAATGAAGTTGCTTGTTGTTAATGCTATCGAAATTGTGTCTTGCACGTGGAATCGATCGACTGCCGGCCGCCGGAGATCTACAGCAATTTTAGATACTTTGTTCGTTGTTTTAAATTTAATTGCCGTTGACTATTTATTCACGTCTCTTCGAAATTCTTAAGCGTTGTAATTTCTCTGAAATAGAAATATTTCTTAATACTAGTATTCTAAAATCAAATTGTGGCTCCGTTAAGTTTTAGGTTAAAATTGTTTGACTACAGTATAACGAAGACGATTGGTGTTACGTCAGAATATCTTTTGCAAAACAACTTTTATTCTCTTTGTAGGTATATTCCTCACAAACATGGCACAGCTTTTGAACCGCATAGGACAATTCGGTTTAGGGCTGGCATTAACTGGAAGTGTTATTAACACTGCTTTATACAACAGTCAGTATTTTTTCTTATTACTAGCATTTAATTCTTATTCTAAACTTAATCATTTATATCTCATTTATAAATGAAATGTTTGTTTCAGTTGATGGAGGTCATAGGGCTGTTATCTTTGATAGATTTAGTGGCATAAAGAATCAAGTCGTAGGGGAAGGAACACATTTCTTTATTCCCTGGGTACAGAAACCTATCGTATTTGATATTCGCTCTAGGCCAAGGAATGTTCCTGTAGTCACTGGAAGTAAAGACTTACAAAATGTAAACATCACACTTCGTATTCTCTTCAGACCTGTACCAGACACATTGCCAAAGATCTACACTGTTCTTGGTGTAGATTATGATGAAAGAGTACTCCCCTCTATTACAAACGAAGTGTTAAAAGCTGTAGTTGCTCAATTTGATGCGGGAGAGTTAATCACACAGAGAGAAATTGTCTCTCAGAAAGTTAGGGAAGAACTAACAGAAAGAGCTGGACAGTTCGGATTAATTTTAGATGACATTTCCATTGTAAGTGTTATTGCAATCATTTCGACCTTCCTAATTTATGTATCTGATATCTTCTGATTTTTACTATTTGATTTCAGACTCATTTAACCTTTGGAAAAGAATTTACTCAGGCTGTAGAAATGAAACAAGTGGCACAGCAAGATGCAGAGAAGGCACGTTTTCTAGTAGAAAAAGCAGAACAACATAAGAGAGCAGCTATTATCAGCGCAGAAGGTGACGCCCAGGCAGCCAGCTTGATTGCAAACTCCCTCGGTGAAGCAGGCGATGGTTTAGTCGAACTGAGAAGAATCGAAGCTGCAGAAGACATAGCTCATAATCTATCTAGATCTCGTCAAGTAGTCTATTTGCCAGGCGGTCAAAATGTCTTATTAAACCTGCCACAGTAAAAATACAAGCTCGAATAAAAATTATATACATAAGTATGCATTTATGGTGTAATGTATGACTTTCGATGCTATGATGGTACACTAACAGTAGATAATTTAGGGAGACGACATTATGATCGTACACTAATAGTAGATGATTCGAAAATGATATATAGGATGAATGCATATAGTACTTCAGATTATTTACATAATTTCAAATTGAATATTCAGTATGCAGATTTGCTCCCAAACATACAAATTCATTTTATTTTGATTTACTCGATTTTCACAGCTTTTATATGTTATGATTTCCTTACTCTCCATGTACACAGTAGTCGCTTGATATTAGTCGCATTTTACAGCTGCCTTTGTTGCCTTGTTACTAAATATAATTTAACTTGTTTGCTTTTCAGAAGAGGAGAGCATTTTTCTTGAGTGTCTTTGATATCCTAATTCCAAATTTAATTTATTTCTCATGACATTTTTAAATATGAACATTTTAGAATTTGCGACGTCACTGTTGCCTTACAGAGTTATTGAACCACCGATAATTCGGCTTCCTACCTCGATGTAAGTACTCATCTAAGTTAGTAAGTGAGAATACGTAATAATAATTGTGTTAATTTCATTGTGAAGTAATCCATTTTATAGCAATGTGTGTTACAATATTTTGAATAGAAACGATTTTCCATTTTCGTACCCGTCGCTTCATACATATACTATACACTTAGAACTTAATACATATGCGTATATGCATATACATAATACGTACTACGTGTAGAACTGTATGGGTATATATGTAAATAGTTACAAATTAGTACATATTCTTATAAAAAACAATAATCCAAATTCTATTTTTTAGTGCAAAAGTATTTAAACAGTTTTACTTTATTTACTCCTTTTTACATGTATATGTCTGATGAAATACCAAACTAAGAAATTAATATTGGATCGCAGCCATGTACGCGTCTGATATAGATGAGTTATAACAATCAACCAGAATTTCAAAATTAACAAAATATTATTTCACATCAGTTCATAGTCCTTCGGTTCACAATCAATTGACAAAAAAATAATGTATCACGATTTATGACAAACTCAAGAGGGTTTAGAAAAAATTTTATCAGTAATTTTATTCTTGCTCTATTTTGCTGATTTTAATTCTTCCTATTTGTTTTTTAATAGCTACATTTTAAATACTTTGTTGATTTCGTGTATCTCATATTGACCTTCTCGGAAAGTAAAATACATATCCGAAAGCGATGCTCGCACCGCGCTATAATTTTCAATAAATTTGCACTTCGCTTGTAATTGTAATTTTCAATAATCGTGCCTAATAGAGGGATGAGGGTGAGCAAAAGGGAGAGGGAGA